GGGATGAGCACCAGGGAATCCATCTCCACACAAGCAGATGCCACGAGGTGCTGAGGCATGTGAAAACCAACAACAAAAGTACAAATTTCAGATGCTCGTGTGTTAAAACCCCTTAGTGTGAAGGTTTTGTGCTGAGAACAGGAAGGCGAGGAGGGTGAAGCCTTTCAGTGGTGTCCATGGCCTGAACCTGGGAGAAAGAGAACTCACTGTGGGGGTGGCATCAGGGGGCTGGAGCCAAATTCTTACTGGTCAAGGGCTCTTATCCCAGCACTGATGGCACAGCTGGCACCTGGGTGTCCCTCCCTGGCACAACTCTGAGAGCCGACGGCTGTTTTCCCTGAGAGTTGGATAGCACTGAGATGTGTTTAACACAACTTTCTTTTATTTCCCCACACAATAGTAAATAAAGCCATTTCCAAAACCTAGTACATTCCTGACTTTCACTGATATTCCCTTCATCCACTCCCCCAGGCCCTCAGGGGCCAGAATTTAACTCTGCTTCAACATCTCTGGAGTCAGTCAAGGCAGCGTAGGGGAGGTGGTGCAACAACAGTGCCTGTGCACTTCTGCAAGAGAAAATTTGGCAAGATGTGGGGGCTGAGGTGTCAGGAGCAGATGCAGCGGGTGTGCAAACACATCTTCTGCCAGTGACACCTCTTTGCTTCTGCGGATATGACTGGAGCAGCATCAGCTGCCTTTGCCTGGGCATAGACGGGGGCACTGCCATCCCCAGCACACTCCTTATGGCTGATCCTGCACACAGGAGCTGGAGATCTCCATTATCCACCAGCTGTTCTTCATGACTCATGACAGCTTAATGACACATTCCTGCTGTACAGCACAACGTGCCTGCTGTCAGGCAGTGCAGAAAGAGGAAGTTGCAGCTCGTGTTTGCCAAACACAAGCCGGCCGCTGGCAAGGAGCAGCACAGGTTGCTGTGCATATCTGCTCCTGGAGTTATTCATGTAGGTCACATCCATTTGTACTGCTCCAGGGGCTCCCTGGGGACCTGGGATGTGCTGGTGTGGAGCGTGCAGAGCTCTTAGCACTTGTGAGATGTGCTGGGAGGGACAAAGTTGTGCTGGGGGAAGAGGTGCTGCCAAGCTGCCATGTAGCAGCGCACTGCTGGGGAAGCCTGGATGGTCACACAGCTACTTGCAGTCACAACCTGTGGGGTTATCGCCCCTATTTCCTTCGTGGGAATGTGTCCCAAATCATCTGCCCCCACAGCAGTAAGGATGTGATGGCACAGCTTTGTGTGTGGACACTGGGGTGAGAGGCTAACGGGGCATAGTGTGCCACAGGACAGGGGAGATGCTGCTGCTGCCACTGCACCAACCACCCTGGGCAGTGACCTACATCAGCTGCTACACTGCAGCAAGAGAGCCCAGCCAGTGTCCCTGTCTAAAATCTGCCCTGGTTTCAATAAAGTGATGCTGCTTCCCACCCGAAAGCAATCTGAGCAGGGCAGGGTTCCTCCAAAGAACCTCTGCTCCCAGATTTCCAGTCTGGAGAGTGGAAGAGCCTGAGCTGCCTGGCTGCTGTCACAAACAGAAAATGTGGTTCAGCAGCCACAGTTCCAGAGGGTGACAGTGGCCAGGGGAGTCAGGAACGCCCGTCTCACTTTGCTGCCTCCGAGGCACGAAGAACCAGCTGGAGCAGGAGGAGAGTCCAGGGCTCTGGTCTTTACAGCCTGGGAGCAGCCACACCAAAACAGGCCTGTGGCTCCCCAGTGGGCACTTGGATCCTCCCCACACCTGCAGTGAAGGTTTGGTGTGATCTGATGGGGACAGAGTGGCTTTGCTGAGGTGGGGCTCTGACAGACAGTGTTCTGCATCTCCTAATCCTGCACCGTGAGCAGCTGGTGGTGACATGGGTCTTCAGGACTGCCTGGTTGGCTCTCACAGGCTCCACTGCTCGTCTGTATTCCCCCAGCACAAGCACAAACATTTTGCCTGCCTGTCCCACATTCCAGTGGTTGGATCCTGCCTTCCAAACCACAGCGAGCGTTGCTGCCGAGCTTGTAGAACCTGCTGGAGTGTTTATTGCTGCAGAGCATCAAGGCTCAACCCCAAAGGGAAAGAGGAAGGAATGACTTAATTCCTTTGCTAAAGGCTTCGTTAATGAGAGCAGAGATATTTCAGCCAGAAGGAATATATTTGCATAGTATTTGATGGACAACAGAGGTGCACAGATACCCTCCAGGCCAGTCCAAAATGATCCACCTTCACTGTGCTATGAGCAGGAAACATTTTTAGTGGCACAAAATGAAGAAAAATGAGCAATCATACATTTAAATCTCTGTCCTCCTTTGCCTACCAGAACAGCTAATACTGTCAGCACAGGTGTGACACTACCTATTTTGTCACTGCCTGTAAATCATCTTTATTAACTAAAACATCTAAAATCCTTAACATTAAGGACTGCAACATTTTGCTGCATTTTAATTGATGACAGAATTCTCACAGGTCTTCAATGCCTGCAAGAAAAATACTCACTTCACTTGCATCACTACACAGGCTGCTGCCTACACTGATCTTTAAACAAACAGTACCTTGAGAGCTGTTGCTTTTAATACTAGATATGATATTAAGTAAAAGTACAAATACCTATTCCATGGAAATTTGGAGCCTGTTTGAAAAATTAGGCAAGCAACCAGGAATTTGAGTGTGTCTAGCTGGAAACACCCAGACATTTTTAGAACTGACTGCACTCTCACTCTTGAAAACCAGGCCCCTGAAGAGAGTTTTAAATTGGACACAGCAAAAGAAGAAGCCCCGACATCCTTGTATTCCTTTGAGAATGTGGATTTAAAATCTTGACTCAAAAGAGCTTCCCAGTTAAATGCCAGAGTTGGAGCTGAGGGCTTTTTCCTTAATCAGGACCAGACAAATTAAAATAAACACAGAAGACTGAATTTACACAACAAGTCATTCATTAAAGGCAGGGTGAGAAGGGGGGAGGGAGGAGAGACCACGTGAAAGCAAGAGAGAGCCTACAAAACTGAGCAGAGATACAAGTCAGGCTGTGCCAGAAGACTATCAGGAAAGGTGGCAGTAACAACATGTAAGTGTTATAACAACAGCCAAGATGATTTTCAGAAGTGATGAAACCTTTCACACCAATCTAAAAGGAGCAGCAGATTCGTAGCTGCCCTGAAAAAGTCAGACCTGTTTAGTCAGTGCTATAGGGGCTCTCTGGAGAATCTGATAAATGCATACCATATAAAAATAGTGTCTCCTCTTAACGTAAAAATGCTTTAGAATTACCTCAGCTGTAAGAGAAAAGGATCACTTGGACTGGCTGAGGAAGCAGCAGCCTGACAGTTCCTGCTCCAGCTGTTTGTGCAAGCCTGGGGAATCCCAGACCAGACCAGCACCACCTGGAATCCCAGAATCCCAGAATGCCTTGGTTTGGAAAGGATCTTAAAGATCATCTCATTCCATGTGCTGCCATGTGCAGGAACACCTTCCACTAGACCACTAGCCCTGTCCAACCTGGCCTTGAACACTTCCAGGGACAGGGAGTCCACAACCTCTCTGTGCCAGTGCCTCACCACCCTCGTATTAAAGAATTTCTTCCTAATACCGAATCTAAACCTTCCCTCCTTCTGCTTAAGGCCATTCCCCTTGTCCCCACAGGCAGGGGAATACTCAGGCACCCATTTGATTTGGGCAGGGTGGGATATGTTGCTTTGGGCATTATGGCAATAACTACTTCTTTCCAGCTGAAGTACAGAGTCAGTGCCAGGACAGTGCCCAGGGTCTGCACCAACAGTGAGCTCTGGCCAGCAACTGGTGCCAATAACACAGAGGGCCTTCAAAATGCTCTTAACCAACATTCATTTACCAGGTTAATCGAAAAGAACTGACGGTAAATCTGTGGGGTTTTAGCTAAAGCCAAGGCACACAATCCCACAGCTCCCCTGTGCGAGGGCTGGGCTCCCAGAAGAGATGTCACACTGGTGAGGAACATGTGAGCCTGAGGCTGGCTGGAGCCTGGAGTCATTCCTGTTGTAACCTGACAGGCTGCCAGGATTCTGGAGTAGGTCACTCGAACAAATCACTGGAGTGCACGGAGAACAGCACTGAACTAAAGGAGGAGCAGGGCACGAGGAAACCCTGCATTCCCCAGAGAGGTTTGAGCCCTGTCTTCACTTTTACTTTACACCTTGCAAGACTGAACCTCAGCATCTCCCCAGGCTGAATCACAGCCCTTTTCTAAGTGGTTTTCTTCAGTGGTTCATTTTATTTTCCCCTTTAGCTGACCTCTCCTTTTAATTTTTTCCTTCCATTCTGAGATCCTGGCTTCACTGCTCTGCTTTTCCTGGTCTTGGCATAACCTCCTCTTTTCTGGTTTTACCCACCCCCTCACCTGTGACAAAGTGTGGCCCATCTGATGTGATGTCCAACCCACTGATGGCCCCTGGCACAGACCCTCCCACTTCTCTGGCGCTTCCCAGGAGCTCATCTGGAGAGCAGAGCAGAGGGAGGGCTGTGCATGGAGACCCCACAGATTTCAGCCCTGCTCTGTAACACAACCTTCTGTGGGGGCACAGGAGTTTCACCACGGAACAAGCCCCAGAGTTTGTGTTTTGGAGTTTCTGCAAACAGAATTCCTGCAGTTTTTCTTACCATGGACTGTCTGGTACCCTTCAGGATGGCAACACACACATCTGAAAGAGGAGTGGGGTCAAATGATTTGTTTTCTTATAAAACAGCTGCAAAACACCCCCAAATGAGGAAAAAGCAATAGGGTCAGAACTCAAACTTTGTCTGCCTGAACTATCTCTGCCTGTGCTGTACTCAAATCTCTCTTTCAACCTGGATATTTCTCAGGTCCCACTCTGAGGTCAGGGTTTCATGAAGCCTATTGGGGTCATTAGTTCTCTCACCCATCACAGCTGCCTTGTGAGACTTTTGCTCTGCTGTCATATGAACTAATTTTTTTCAATCCTGAATGCTTTCTAGGTACTATTCACCGTGCAAAAGCTTCCTTACCCTCACCACAATGAAGAGAGTTTGCAGATCTGCCATAGCTCAACGAGAGTCATAAAGTCCTGGAAAACAGAGCTACTGGGAAATAGGAAATTACCTGTTCCATCCCCTTGGCCAAGCAGGATCCAATATGAGAACACGAGACAAATGTTTGTCAAAAGTTTTCTGAATTCCTTTTAGCACTGAAGGTTCTGCCCTCCCTGACTCGATTGTTTTTTCTAGTAATTTCTGTTTCCAAATGCTCTTTTTCCCCTCCTTCTCACTATGAGATATCCCAAATAGGGCACAGGGACCCAACAGAGACATTCCCAGCACTTCAAGTGCTTTGCAACACTCATCTGTCTCCTTCACAAGATCTCACATGCTGCACATTCCATCAAGGCTGGTTATGACACACTCCTTGTCCTTCTTCGTCTTCACGCAAGACACAGCAAAGGCTCCTGCAGAACTGCCTGCCCTGACCTCCCAGACCCTCCCCTGAAAATCACCAGCAACATCTGCTCTTGTACCACCTGGTCCTGGCTGAGCTCAGTCAAAGGCTTTTCTCAACTCTTATTTTCTCTTATAACACGTACTCCACTCAATCTCAACAACTGCCCCTATTTTCCAGTGGGTTGTTCACAGCTGCCTCATTACACTTATCTGAGTTCTTGAGAATGTGATCCACTTGGTTCAGAAATCCCTGACCATTAACACTTCACCTTGTGTTTGTCATATTCTCACTCTTCCACGCTTCAGTTTACTCATTTCTCGAGTAGGAAAAAGCCTCTGGTCCAGGAGATATTTCCAGCGGTGCCTTAAAGATCAAAGCTTCTGAAATGGAATATAAAAAAAGAGCTGCCTGCTATTTGTGCTCCACATAATGCCAGAAAGTAAATACAAACCAGCTCTTTAAATCTTTGATGTGAAATACGTGTCTGAAAGCACCTCTTTTCGCAGTGGTGGTAACAGCAAAAATCTTCCTGCTTTGAGGACTTGATCTTTCACACCTTGCACTTACTGGCCCACCAGGGCCAAACTTCACGAAATCCATTCACTTTTAAATTCCACCGAGGTCAAATCCTAGGGAAAATGTAGAGATTTAGTCACTGACATCAGAAGCAGGGAGAGCTGACTGTCCACGTTTCCCAGTCTGATGCTGAGTTAACTACAGGATCTGGGTCTCCAGCTCCCACTTGATGAATGTTCAGAGCATCCAGGTCCTTTAAGTGTCCCTGGAAGTGGCAGCTTTCAGATGACTGATTTTGACAGAACCATTCCCATTTCAGAACAGGTTTTTTTGTGTTTCCCAATGAATACTGCGAGTGCTCCCCTGCAGTTCTTGTTTCTGCTTAGCCAACCTTTAGCTTTAATTTGGTCTCAGCTGCCTTTGTCAATTCAGAGATGAACTGAGCAGAGCCTGTGCCAGTCTCCGTGTGTGAAACAGAATCCAGGTCCTCATCCTCCACATCCTCTAGAGTTAATCACCCGAGCTGCTTTAATGTGCTTTTCTCAGGAAGGGCTGGAGTGGCTCATCATGTCTAATGTCTTTTTGCAGTGAGACAAGGCACTGCTGCGTCACTGCTCTACAGGAGAGCCGAGGTGCACAATGACTCACAAAGATGGCTCATTGATTAGGACATCAGCCCGAGATCTGGGAGCCCTGCCTTCAATTCCTCCCTCTTCCAAACTTCCCGTGCCCTCACCAGCACAGCACGCTGAACCCTTAATTTCAGGGCACACGAACAAAGCACTGAGCAGATAAATCACAGCACAATTAAATGTTTGGCTCTCACCAGACTGCAAGGAGGAAGCCAAACCAAGGCAAGGAACTGAATGTGAGCTTCCCAGTCAAATTATTTCTTCTGAATTTAAATAAAACTCCTGTGCTTAAATTATTTAAATGTTAGGAAAGGAGTGTCACTGTAACTAACTGAACAGGGTCATTGCTTTATGAAGTTGCTTTATGAAGTAGCTGAAGTACACAGTGTTTGTTTTGCATGGCTGGAAATAAATTGTTGAATGGCACAGGTATGATGCCTACGACATGTTTTCTAACTTTATTGTTATTTGTATTGGAATGTTTCCAAAATTTTATTAGGAATGGAGTGCTATTATATTATTAGACTCTAATTAACACCTAACCACAGAGTACCATCCCAGAAAACTGGGAAGTCACCCAATAGAGAGTACAGTGATATAAAAGGAACTTTGTGCTTTGAAATGAAATCATAGAGGTCACTTTGGGCAGGACGAGGAGCTCCAAAGCAGCTACAGAAAGAAAATCTGTGCTGGAGCACAGTTAGATGGAGGCTTGTAAAGGATGACTAAAGCAGATAAAGCAAATACAGGGGAGAGACAAATGAAGAAAAAGGATTAAGAGCATACTCTGCATTAGAAGGATTTCCAAGACTACTAAGGCTGAAGAAATTGTTTTACATCATGCCCCCTGAGATTTGCACATATCAAAGCCAGTGTTTTGGAGCTCAGACCTTTGCTGAAGTGGAAAATGAGAATAGCTCACTCTGACTCTCTGTTATGAGAGCACAGACCTGCTCCAGGGTTTTTAAGCAAAAATTACCTGCCCTTCACCTCCTCCACTAATGATGCATTTACAGTCACTTGTAGCAGCAATTCCAAGCTACAGGCACTGTCAATCACATACATTGACTGCCCAGTCTCTGCCTTCAAGGCATGGATTTTCCCATCATCCCAAGCTGATGAACATAAAGAAACAGATTATCCAGGCCCACAGACTTTCCTTGTATTATTGTCTCTTTTTCCTTT